TTTATATTATTTATATAATACTTATCAATAAGCTGATTAATCACATGGAACAAAATTAGCTCCTTTTGGTATGCGAGCTATGAGCACATTAAGGCCTTTCCTTTCACAATGTTTAGCCAGGTAGAAAATCAATGTACCAAATCAATGCTCAGCTCAAATGAACAGCTCAAGCTCCCGCTTATACTTATGCATAAGGAAGTCGCCATGCGAAGAGCCCCAGAGCAACTGCAGCTGACTCAGCTGAGCCGAGGTGCAGTCAACTGTGCCGCGTCTAGCAACAATAACAACAGTTAGTTAATTAAAGTTGAGTATTCATGTTGAGCAGTCGTGGTCGTAGTCGCAGCGTCCCTCCATGCCGTCCCGTACCGCTCCACCTGGTAATTAACTCTTTTGGGGCTTTTATTTTCGGCATTGCGCAATGTCCGAGCAGCTAATTACTTTTAATTTTCATTGTAGGCCATTTGATAATGCTCCAAAGCGACTTCCTATCAAGCTGGGAAATCCAAAGGCAACCCACTTTACCAACACAAACACATATACTACACTATGACGTGTGTCTATGTGAATTTTGAGTTAAATGCAAAACTATTGCTGTTGTTGCTCTTGCTGTTGCATTGCCAGTTTAACATTGAAAACTGCATTCGATGTGAAAATATCAACAACAACACCAGCAACAACAACAGCAGCAACAGCAACTCAAATATATACCAAAACTTTGCAGTTGCAACACTTTGGTTGCTGAACTTGAGCTTTTCGCAGTTAGACCCAGACTATTGCAGTCTCTCTCTCTCTCTCTCTCTCACTCACCCTCTCTGGCTCTATCTCTCCTCTCTGTTGCCTGCTCAGCCAATATTGATATTTGATTTGATGGTGTATTTCGTAATTTCACTACAGCTCGCTCAGTATTCAATGTGCTTCATGCTCGCCCTTGACAAATGAACCAAAATAAATGAGAACAGAAAATTAACTCAGACTAAGTCTAGCATTAGTTGCGACTTTTTAACTCTTTGGCTGTACTTTAACTATAGACAGCAATTGTGAACTAGTTTATTTTAAATTGAAAATTGAGCGTTGGTCTATACTAGAGCATGGTTTAGTTTCATCCTCTTCTTGAACTGTTCTAGCTTACTTATTAACTTGGCCAGCCTTGGTCTGTAGTCAGCATGAGATTATTTATATTTGAATTTACTTGGAAATGTGGATACAGGTAAATGTAGAATGATGTCACTGAAATGCTTCAACCAAGTAAAAATGTTTGACTTCATTAAATAAATAAGCATATCTTTGGTCATAATGACATCTGAGTTACTATAGCCATGTGTATGATTTATTTCTCCAATTTTCTATCATTAAAACAATTTCAGAGAAGATTTTACAAGCATACATAGCTCAAATATAATCAGAGCCAGAGACATGCAAAATATATGCAGATTGTATAATAATTGTATAATTAAGCATAATTAGAGATATCCCACTGGATAAAAAGGGAATATACTGTATATATAGAAAAACAATATCACATTGCCAGATGGTAATTTTATAACAATTATATATAATTAAACTATATAATGTTAAATATGTTATAGATTATAATGCAGTTAACATATCATAAGTCTGACTTTTATTTAGTTCGACTATGCTAGACATCCCGAATAAAAATACTTAAATGCTTTCTAGGTTCTATCACGCCTCTTTCCGTCTGCTACCCAAAGCCCTTATTCTGAATTATATGAGATAATCGCATAATAATTCTTGTATATATTAGTTCTATGATAAAGCATTGTGAGATCACTATCATGAAGAAAATACATCCATCTATCTATACTCAACAGAGGCCAGTTATATGGAATCAGGAATATTGTGTGACATTTGTATTCTATTAGTTTCATCATCTTTGCATGCAATACTTGGATATTAATTGGCATATATTGAGATATACATAAATATAGGGTCATACATTGATGACACTCTCGGCTTAATTGATTTGATTTTGATTTCAGTCCAAGATCTAAAATTTCCCATTCCTGAAACCCATTCAAAATAAACAAAACGTATTTATACAATGAATTTTTGGTTTTAATTTTAAAGTCAACAATGAATAAATTAATACTTAGGCAACTAAATCACATTCAATGGCTATCTTAGGTAATAGATTCGATTATTAGATAATAGGAGATCCATGCCTCACTGCTGGGATCCAAAGATCAGGAGTTGCTGCGATAGCGCCATTTGCTGTAGGAACTGTTGTTGTTGCTGCGGCAACTGGATGCCCGTGGCCGAGACGCCTTTCTGGAAGATCGCCTGCTGCAGCAGCTGGCGATAGTAGAGACCGAAGCGGACCTGTTGCTCCATTATGGCGACCTGCTGCGCACGATATTGCTCGTATTGCTGCGATAAGTGCGCATCCTGCGCCTGTTTGGCCCGCCGACTCAGCAGACAGGCCAAGGTGTTGCGGTCGCGTCGCTGCTGCTCCTTGGGACTGCGCTGCCGCGATGTCTGGCTGCGGCGCACCATGTTGGCGTGATATGTGCCGGCCAGAGCTGCTGGAGTGCTGGGCTTCTGCTGAGCGAAGCCTGTGGCTGTCTGAGTAGTGGAGGCTGCCTCGATGTTCTGCTCGCTGTCCAGCCAGGGGCGGAAGAAGCCCTTCGTCTGGCGGCGTTTGCAGGGCGGCGCCTCTAGCGTAATGTTCTCCTTGTTCTGCTCCAAAATCTGGTCCACATCTCGCTTGCGCTTGTGGGCCGCAAACTTCTTGTGCACATAGCTATTCGAATTGTTGGACATTTCCATTATTTCTCTCTCTCTTTCTTGTTCACTTTGGTAAATCTGTTGTTGATGCTTTGACGTCGAGTGTCTGAATGCTGCTGCTGACCGCTTGATATCCTGTTTATATGCGCAGGATGGGAACAGCCGGAGCAGCCCCTCCCTCGATCAGGTACGTGCGTTGGGTCTAGTAAACAGACGGATTAGCGCATCTTTATTACCTAACTAATCGTTGTTTGGGCCGAGTGCTTTGCATATTTTATGACCTGCGGCGGTTAATTGCCGATCCACATGTTGTTGCCTTACCTCTGTTCCTCTTACCTGTCCTACCTGCCGTCCGCAGCAGCTCAGCAAAGATCAGATGTGTCGTCGCGGCTACCGGAACTGGAAAACACCCGATCGCAAACAAATCGACTGCATACGAATCCAATTTTTATTGCCCTACTTGACGCCATGCCTTGCGTGTGGTCCTGCGCGTACTTCACGGTATTTTCTAGCATTTTTTGTCACACTTCTTGGAAATTCCTGCAGGTCTACAAAAGGAATTTGCCAAACAAAAGAATCTCAAAGGTTTTTTTTTTTTTTTTTTTTTTGGTTGACCAAAGCAAATACTTTACTCAATCTCGATCTATATCTTTACAAATAAATCTTGTGGGAATATTAAACATCCATCTGAAATATATTATTATTTTATTAACTAGTAAGGCTATTTAGTATATTAATAACTATGCTTAACTCTTTAATCGTATTGCGTTAACACTTCTTGGCATAAATAATCACTGATCAAGTGTTAATTTATACATATTTTATACAAATGTATATAAGTTACGTTTAAATAGTATGATTCACTCGTAGGGCGTGTTTTTTACCATGTGCCCCCTGCCCTTAAGCAGCTCTGGAAATATTCCATTCTGTAGTAGTAAATCCAGTCAACCAATCATTGAGCTCAATGTGCTTTCTTGATACAATAGAATCACCTATGATATAGACTAACATTTACATTTTCATCAACCCTAAAAGGGCAACAAGTAGATACAATGTTTGCAGTAAGTTCTAAAGCTCCGCCCTATTAAAGGTGAAATAAATTGAGATTTATTTATGTGGTTGGTATCAGTCTGCCTTGGTACTTTTAGATCGAATGAAAGATACACCATTGTAATATAGCAAATAAATATAATGTAATGCTCATGTTCATAATGATGACAATTATAATTATGTTGATATATTTAGGTCATCTGCCAGACAATTCATAAGGATGTTAAATTACTATAATTATTCGCTAAAGTCACGATTGATAATCAAGCGAAAATTAAATAAAAGTTTCACATATATGTATACTACTTACATTAGTGTCAAATTATTTTCCACTTAGTAGTTTTCACTCTCATATATAATATTAATATCATAGAGGTTTATTGAAGCATACATATACTACTCGATTTGGATAACGCCTCCCCCTTTCAACCAATTTGCAAAAGTTTCATTTATGGAGTATAAATATTAGATTAGTTGTACTTGGGCAAATTCAAATAGAAGTTAGTCAACAATTATGTTACCCTAGTACAAAAAGCCTATGCAGAGCAAGTGCAGCCGCTGCGCAGTAAGCAGAGCGCGTGCGTACGTGCATGTGTGTATGTACACATGTATGTGTGCGCGTATTAGTGTATGCAATGAAAATCTAAATTTCAGCTTTGCTGTTATTTAAATATTTGCAATAGTTCATCAGCTTATTAATTTATAGCACGTTATCAAAAGGAGGAAGATGTTCAATATTAATTGATTATTAATGAAAGAATGTAGACTCTGGTATATATAAGATTATAGTAGGGTTCAAGGTATTGTTCAAGGTTTACTTTGCCATTATCTTATATCCTGGTTATATCCTGATAACTGCTAATGACAGATGACTACAATGAGATATACATATTTATGTATTTATGTATGTATGTATGTATATGAATAGCCGATGAGCTGAAGCAAAGGGTTCCTAATTAAATATAACGAATATGCCATTTATATCAGTATGGATTGATATTGAGTCTATTAAAAAAGGCTGAGACTGCCATATCAATATCATAAATAGAATGATAGACCTGGAGCATGCCAAATAATTTGAGCTAACAAAGTTAGATCCATTTTCTTCAACTACTTTACATACAAATATAATAAATAATCAGAAGTCGTCAAATATAAATTCTTTGCAAATGTCATTTATTCATGGTCAACAATAATAAATAAATAAAACTTTAAAAGTTATCACAAAGTCAATAATAACTTAAGGCTATACATAAATACACTAGCTACAATAAATCTTCCGTAAATGGGAAGTTTGTCCTTCTAGCGCTTCGTGGCCGCTGCCTGCTGTTGGGGCCAGGCTTGGAGCGTGGGCTGTCCGTGCTGCAGGCTCTGCTGGTTGCTGTGGGGCAGGGCAGCTCGAGTCGCGGCCATCGTCTGCTGCAGGAAGCGGACGTAGTAGAGACTCAGGCGTACTTGCTGCTCCAAGTTGGCCTCGTGCTGCTGGCGGAATTGCTCGTACTGCTGCTCCATGGCCAGCTGCTTGGCTTGTCGGGCCCGGCGGCTCAGCAGGCAGGCCAAGGTGTTGCGGTCGCGCCGCTGCTGCGCCTTGGGGCTGCGCAGGCGTGGCGTGTGGGAGCGCACCATGTTGGCGTGGTAGGTGGTGGCCACTGTATTGGGCGATGGTCGCCGCGGTGGTTGTTCCACTGCTGTTGCTGAAGTAACGGTCGCCCGGGGCTCGTCCAGCCAGGGGCGAAAGAAACGACGCTTGGCGGGCAGCTCCATAATGAAAACCACATCATCGTCTGTCTCCTCGTCCTGGCTGCGCTTGCGCTTCAATGCGGAGAACTTTTTGTGTGCATAGTCGGGGGTGGTTATCGGAGCAGAGTTATCCATGCTGGCAGATGGTGTTGATGTTGTTCTTGTTTGCCGTCTTGCTGTCGACTGTGCTGCCATTGTGCTGGGCGTAATCTTTTATGCAACATTAGGTAATGGATATCAAAGCGCTTGGCAGGCCGGCGGACAGTTTCCCACCAATCCCTGTGTCAGGTATTTCCCAATCAACTTCATTCATCCCAACGTGTGCCTGCGCTTCGGGCTAATCACCTTCCATGTAACCCTCGAGCATTCTTGGGCACTCACCTACCTGTGATACCCGCTATCTGCTTGTTGTCGTCACAAGGGCAGGTAAGTCGTCCGTTGGCCTGGCTAATCCGCCGGCTGATGCTGGCATTGCAATGCTTGCGTTAGTTAAGGGCGTCATAAACCAGTTGTCCTTTTTTCGACTATTTGTATCGCCAGCGATTTTCACTGGAAATACCTGTTGAGTGAGCAGAGCCAGAGCCAGAACCAGAGCCAGGCAGTATAATCCTGGCGCTCATATGGCCACGATGTCTGTAAGCGCATTGTTCGGCTTTCTTTGTGGCACCTGAAAAGTTTTATTGTTGCCAGCGATCCGCATTGCATTTATGACTTCAGCTTGTCCAGCTGAAAATGTTATTCTTCCCAAAGGTGTTGGGCATCATTACTGAATACCCGAAGAACCCATATATATTCATATATACATATATATCGTCTTGGTGTTCGTTTCCCTTGCTCTAAGTGTGTGCGTTTAGAATTATGTCGGATTTTTCATTCAATGGCTCGTTGTTAGAGTCTTGTCCATTGATTTATGTAGTCACTGCCGTGCGACAGCTAAGCGGATTTATCTTTAGGTGGGCTTGAGCTCTGCCCTCAACAAATGCTGAGCACAAGAGCCGGTACATCAATTGTAGAGCCTCAAGCTGAAAGATTGCCATATTGTTTGATTACAATGATCTGATTCCACCTTCTACAATTAACCAGAATGAATAGCTTTAGCAAATGTAGTGCAATCTCCTATATCTCATCGATTATGTAACTGTTCTGCTTCGTTCCTGATGGAATGCACTCGCACAAACCTACCAGGAAATGCTATCACCAAGGCAGACTTCTAAGAAAGGTGAGCCGAAAGAAAGCAGTAACTGGAAAATGTTGTGAATGAATCGCGTGTTATATGATTGATGCACTCCGTGACCTTTCTCACAGATCTTCTATGGGCTTTGATTTTGTAGTTTTTGTTTCCCTTATAGGCGATGCATAATACAATCCGTAAGGATCCCACGATCACATTTAACTTATGTCTATAGATTGTGAATTTTGATCTCAATTTTACTCTATTGAGATTTATATCAATTATATTTACATGTTTTGCTAGTTATATACATTAACTTTGGGATACCGATTCGAGAACTTCTTTGCTTTCCAGAACTTTGTAGAACGTTTGGTTCGACTTGGTCCCTTTGTTAATAAATATAAATATATGTATATACATATATGGACTGACAGGTATCACGATATTCAATTCAGTTTTCAAATAATCTTCAATTAATGAATGAAAGACAATTATCTAATGATATATACCTATGTAATAGAAAATAATAGTTACTCATTGTATGATATATAATAGAATTTCTAAATTTAATTTTTATTTAATTTATTATATGGCAATTTAAACTTTGATTTTAAGAAGTCAAATGCCAAACCATTTGTTTTTACTTTACTTTAAATTATTTGACTTTCTTATAAACAAAATGTATTACAAATTAAGATAAATATATTATATTATATTTTAGTGGCCTTAACAAAAAAAGTAGTAATCAAATTATAATATATAGTAAATTTTAATATATAGTCATGAATAATTTTTGTGTTTTTGGCTTATCAAAAAAGCATAAAAACAACCTTATACTTTGATCTAATAATAATTTAATTGCTTGAAATTCGTAATCCAAGCCATATGTTCCGAATATTTCATGATACAACCTTGTAGCTACATAATTTAAATGACATCCTTTACGCATTAAAAATCGACGCAACATTTCGGGAAAATCCCAATAAATTTCCATTCAATTGGCCATTGTCAGTAAGCCGTCGAGCTGCAGCATCTTGGAATGCCGTCGAACTTAATGAGCCAGATTAGCGGTAAGCGAGATAAGAATCAAGAAAGCGCTGAGCCAGAGCCGACTCTGGTATAGCAACGGGATCTGCTACCTCATCAAAGAGCATACCGTGGCCGGGGCGCAGGCGCTGCCTGAATGTGGCTCTTCTGCTGAAATTTTCCTGAAGAAAATACCAGGAAAATTGAAATAAGTGCAGGCAAGCAGGCAGACAGCCTGCAGAGAGCATAGAAGGTGCTCGTATGTCTGTAGGTGCGAGCCGAGCACCGCTGGGCAAATGAAAAATTAATTACAAAAAGGACTTGGCCRAGCAGGTAAGCTAGCCAGCCAGCCAGCAGTTCATATATATTCTGGAACAAATCCTTTTCTTTTTATGACAATGCAGACCTTTTGTCAACGAAGTTTTTCCCATAAACAAGACGCAGCTCACCTTAATGATAATTTTGCTGAGCGAGCAGGTAGGCAGCAGCCCAGTCGACTATAAAAGCGGCTCTTGCGCAGCACAAGGAGCACAGTCAACAGACAACCACCAAAGTAACAACATCACATCTTAACATTCTAACACACACCAACACACAAAATACTCAGCTATACGATGGCACCCTCACAAATGGATTATCCACAACACGAAAGCACGACGAGTGTCGCCGGATACACTCACAAAAAGTTCAATACGGGCTGCTACAAGCACAAGAAATTCGGCAAGCGCGACAACAGCAAAAGTGACTCGACCACGGCTGCACCATTATTCCGTCCGTATGCACTGAGCGATAATACGCCACGGAAGCGTCGTCAGGAGTCCGAGCAGCGACAGTGTCAACAGCAGCCCCAGTACCAACTGCCCCCAACGCCACCAACAACACCACCGCAACTTCAACAGCAGATGCATCATCTGACATATCCACAGCCAAATCAGTTCTACACGCCCACAGCCACGCCTACGCCAAGCATCAATCATCAGGCATTCGCCTACATGCTGCAAAAGCAGCGCACCGTGCTCCAAATGCGCCAATTGCTCAGCATCAATCCGGATGCAAATACCTGGCCAGCACACTTGCGCAATGCCCTCTACTCCATGCTGCAGCAATGAAGGGAATGAATAGGAGCCGCAATCGGTGGCATCACAGATCATCTCTGTGTGGCCACCAACTTGGTGATTTGCCTAGCAACCAGTGATATAGAAATTTAAGTGCCTCACAAATTGTATATGATATGAAAACAGTAATCAAACCGATCTAGACGTAGTAATAATTGTACATAAACTATTTAATTAAACTAACAACTTAAAGAAAGCCAAATAAAATATATTAGTTTAATGTATATAAAGAAATTATCCGCTTTTCAATTGGGTGTCAGATGTAAAACATTTGGATTTAGGTTTAATGCATTGCATTTTAAAAGTTGTAAATTATTCAAGAATTTAAAGGGTTATTCATTGTACATGTACAAATGTATATATCAAGCTGACTTTCTATATTTAAAAGAGTTTGTTCCAATATTCAACTCTCGTATTTGCATATTATTGTCATTGCTTCATTTGGTAAGAGGAAGACAACGAACTATGATATACTATGACAATCCATATTCTCTGGCCATGTATAAAGATCTCGCATGTGTGTATCAAATATCATTTCGTAAGTATACATAAAATAGGTAAATCTGGGTTATCTCGTATACTGACTACAAACAAATGAAATACAAAAGATGGAAATACACCCAACTGAAGGTGAAACATGAATAACTGAAAGCAAACATTAAGCACTACTATTGTATTGTATGTGGTTTATAAAATTAACTAAGATTTCATCCGTTTTTTACAAGCATTTTCCATCAATAAGAAATTTAAGGTGCATTGTATTTGATGATAGCAAGCATTTACTTTTAAACCGATTTAAATAGAACTCTTAAACGATTACTTTAGGGTCGATTTAAAATCTACAGAGATTTATTAAATCCCAGGCGATCAAAAACCGAGCTCGGTTGACCCCTTGGCCTATTGCCGGCATTCACGCTCGAAGTTCGCCGTGGTGCAAAATGCTTTTGATCGCGCTGCTGATTTCGATGCGATGTAGGAGGCTGTGCAGCGGTGGCCGACGAGCCCAGACGCTTGTGCACCGGCAGCGTATCCTGTCGTGTGAGCAGCTCATCGCTACGCATGCGTATTGCCTTTCCTTTCACAGGACTCAGGCGCGCGCCTGGTTTCTTTGGCGGAGACGCTTTGAGATTGTATGTCTTGCGTGTGGCATGTAGCTTGGATACTGTTGACAGAAAGCAATAATTAAAAACATAAATAAAAGTATTTACAGCAGTAAAACTCACCCATGCCCAATCGGGACTTTATGTTCCGCGCAAAGTTGCTATTGCCACGCGCTTTATATGGCGTATTTGGTGCGATTTCTCGCACTTCCGCAGTGGATGCGAATTTAACAATTTTCTCAACAGGTGCTGCCATAACAACGTCCTGTTCACTTTCGCTACCTTCGCTGTCTATATCACTGCCCGCCTCTCTTAAATCATCATCATCCATGCTGTCATCGTCGCTATCATCACCACATTTCAATGGCACCTTGTGGACAAGCATCACCTTCTGCTGTGATCGTGCCAGTGGCGCTGCTGTAGTTTTAGCCTTCACTATTGACGTGTTGCGCTTGATGATACTGCCTCCGGTGGTGCTTTTGGTGTTTTTCAAAATCGATTTTATCTCCTTGGCCACAACTGTATTTTGCTGTACTGAATCCAAGGATTGCTTGCCTCCGAGCCGTGCAAACACCGAGTTATTGCTAGAAGAGGCGGCTATTTTGCCGGTAGATGTATTGTGAACGCCGGTAATGTGCACGCGCACGTTACTCTCGGCGCTGCTGGAGACAATGCCCTCCTGAGCATCATCGTCGCACTTGCTCTTGTGTAAGCGCGCAAAAACATCGGTTTTCTTGGTGCTAGTAACACGATCCGAGTATACTGAAATACATTAAAAAAGGAATATAGTAGCCTTTGCGTTTATCAACATGACCATAACATACACTGCTCCCGCTTGGCCAGAATTTGCTTGCTCCGCTCTGTTGTGCCCGATGGCAAAGTAACTTTATATTTGCCTTCATGCTCCGGCAGCACGCGTCGCGCTGGCTTTGCTGGTGGTGAGACTTTATTGGCACTAGCATTGACAACTGTTGATGCTGATATCGGCGATGCAGTAGTTGCACTAACTAGGTTTTTGGTCTTAGCCTTGGATTTGGGCGAAGGCGCATCTGTTATGAGTACTTTGTCGAGTACATGTTGCTCGCTAACTTGTTTGGCATGACGCAATATCGCAATTATGTCGCCCATAGGCGTGATGCCCATCTCACGTAAGTATTCCTTATTTAAATCAAGCAACATGTCATCCTGTATGCGGTTTTCGACAAATATGTGAGCATAGCTAGCCGCTGCTGGGGACGGAATCCCCCCGGCATTGAAAAACTTCACCCATCGTGCTGCAATAGAGTCGTATTGGTATTTTTCATATACATTTGAATCCCGTACGCACCTGCAGTAGACTTGGACATGGCTTTTAAAGAGAGAAGCACTAATTCAATACTTATTCTATAACTCTATTTTTATTTTTCATACAGTGCTGTAGAGTTGTATTAAATTGTTTGGAATCAGTTCACCTGAACGGTTCCGGTGAACAGACCAACAAACGAAATTTGATATTGTTCATTTTGCTTTAACCAAGTTAAACAAACTTATTTTAATTTTTTAAGGTTCTTATGACACAAATCTCTTGGATGTTGAAACAAATAAAAGATTCTTTAAATAAAGTAATTTATATATTAATTTCAATATATATGGTTACACTCCGTTGCATCCCTGCAAATATATCGATATTATATACAAGCTTCGATAGACATGTTATTTAACAGCTGACTTCAAAGAACGATAGATCAAAAAAGCAGTGTAAACAACGTTGTTGCACGTGCGGCATCTAATTAATATCAATTGCAACATGTCGACACGTATGGAACTACTTAGTGAGCAAGGATTGCGTCTGGATGGTCGCCGGCCGCACGAGCTGCGCCACATCAAGTGCAAACTAGGTGTATTCGAGCAGCCTGATGGCAGTGCCTACATGGAACAAGGAAATACAAAAGTTTTGGCAGCCGTGTACGGACCACATCAAGCCAAGGGCAAAAAAACAGAAGGCAATGATCTGGTTATAAATTGTCAATACAGTCAGGCCACGTTCTCTACCTCGGAGCGTAAAAATCGGCCGCGTGGTGATCGGAAATCACAGGAGTTTAAAATGTACTTGCAGCAGGCGCTGAGCGCAGCCATCAAATCCGAGTTGTATCCACGCTCTCAGATTGACATTTACGTGGAAGTTCTGCAAGCGGATGGTGCAAACTATGCTGTTTCCCTAAACGCCGCTACTCTGGCACTCATCGATGCGGGAATATGTCTAAACGAATTTGTTGTTGCCTGCACGGCATCCCTAAGCAATGCCAACATTCCGCTCACTGACATCTCACACATCGAGGAGGTCTCCGGTGGTCCCAAGCTGACCATAGCAGCATTACCCACTGCCGAGAAGATTGCATTTATGGAGATGAGCGAACGCTTTCACATTGACCAACTGGAGACAGTCATAGAGACCGCAATGGCCGGTTGTCGCGAGATACGAGACATACTGGAGTCGGCAGTTAAGGAGCATCTCATACACATTGGCAGCGCAGCTGACTGGGCGCGTGTCTGTTAAAATAAAGTAATTTTTATTAAAGTTTTCCTATTTTAACAATTAACAATTATTTAGTTTTTATCTGCTGCTTCCTGTGGTGGCGGCTGCCACGTTTCTAGTAGCTCCACTAGAGCCTGTTTGCGGTGTTCCAACTGCAGGCGCTCAATTAAGCCGCTCAGCTGCTGACCGCCCTCCAGGAAGCCAGGAAGATTGTGCAAAGTGCCACCCTGCTGTACTCGATGATCTGTCACACGATCTTGCACGAAATTGTATGTGCGAATCTTTTCGTTGCGGTTCAGATTCCCTTGCTGTGCCTTACGGGTAGCTTTTTTAGTCGCCTCAGCACTCTGCAGCTGCTGCTGTATAAGCTTCGCCTGCAGTCGCTTAAGCGCCACCTCGCGGTTTTTCAGCTGAGACCGCTCCGATTGTGATTCAACAGCCAATCCCGAGGGTAAATGTACAATTCGAACTGCAGAATCTGTGGTGTTTACGTGTTGTCCACCAGCGCCGCTGGCACGTTTCGTCTCAATCTTCAAATCCCGCTCTGCTATTTGTACTTGCACATCAGCCGGCCTTGGAATCACAGTTATGGATGCGGTGCTAGTGTGGATTCGACCAGATTTCTCAGTGGCCGGCACACGTTGCACTCTATGTACCCCCGCCTCGAAGCGCAGCCAATTGTACGCCTCCGGATCGTTAACCTGCAGATTAGCGTGACGCAGTCCGCCTATGTCGGTGGTCTCACGGTCAAACTCTTCATACTCCCAGCCCATGTGGTCGAAGTAGCTGGTGTACATGTCATATAGTTCCTGGGCAAACAGCATGGCCTCCTGCCCACCGGCACCAGCGTTCACCTCAAATATCACCGCCGGATAGTCCTCGTCATCGGACAGCGCAAGTAGCTCTTGCAGCATGTCCTCCTCCTGTTTACGCAACAGACTTGTGTATACATTGTTTTCCTCTTCCATAAGCGCTCGCATATCCTCGTCCTTCTCAGCTGTCAAGTCCTTCTCTGATGTTATATTGCGCTGCAAGGCTCTGTGCTTCTCCAGGCTATTGATAACGGGATCCAAACGGGTCAACCGTGCATATAGGCTGTTGTTGCCGGCTGCATTGACGCGCAGCGCATAATATTCTTGACGCAGTGATTCCAAATATGATTGCAGCTTCTCGTTCTGAAAACTCAATAGATCTGTACTAGCCCATCGACGCACTAGACTCTCGCACTGCACTCTCAATAATTTACGAAACATTTTTATTTTAAGCAAATAATTATTTTAAGGAAATAACAATGGTAATTCTATTTTTGGTTGAATAACTGTTTAACCCACCATCTGCTCGATGAAATGTTTCATAGCAATGAGAGCGTGTAAGAGAGCATATAACCGTTTGAAATGTTTACAAACAGCTGTTCAGCTATGGCGAGTTTAATAAATATTCTAATTATCTCTGAATTGTAATTTTGAGCTGTTATTTAAATAAATGTTCTTAAGCTTTTATATATATAAACAATCTAATGTGGCCATCGGACTGTCTCCAAAATTAGTGTTCAATCCCACACTATTAATGTTTCATCAAGCATTAAAATTTATGGGTGCCCACAGCTGTTTATGCTGTTGCCAGTGTTGAATAAAAGTTTATTTACTTCTCATTCAGATGGGCTTGTTCAGTCGCGAAACAATTATTTAGTTATTATTATATTTAGTCATATCAGTGCAATAGAAAGTACTTGTAAAGTACTTGAAAAAGCCCACACTACAATAAATAAAAATAATAACAATCTGTGCAACAAATATGTGCAAGATCCATGTATAGCGATTTTCAGTTATGCATGCGTGTGTGTGTGAATGCGAGTGCGAGTCGAGTGCCTGTGTGTGTGATGTGTTGTGTGCTTGATTAATGAAAACAGTTGTGTTCGTAGTGGTGTAAAGTGCAGCAATAGCAATTAAGTTTAATTAAATAATAAATTGAATGTGAATTAGCTGCCAGAGTGCATTTACATAGAGTCAGCACAAGTCGTAGCAAGAGTATAACGAGATGCCACCACTGAAGAGCTACTCCATGCACCATGAATTCAATGCAAATGCAAATTGTCACAACGGCAATGAAAACACCACCGATAACGATAACGATTACTTCAACCAGCCTGCTACTGCATCTGCTACGTCTGCAGCTAGCACCCAACGCACAAATCTACCCTCTTACTGCAACGCCCAATACCCATTTAAGGTGCTATCCAATCTAAACCAATTGCGGGAGCAGTCACGCTTCTGCGATGTCGAAATTGTTGCAGGCGAGTCAACGTTCAATGCACATCGCGCAGTGCTGAGCGCTGCCAGCGCCTACTTTGAGGCCATGTTCAGGCCCGAGTTAGGCCTCAATGAAGTCAAGCAGAAATCAGTGGTATTGCATACAATCGATGGCGACATACTACACATACTCTTGGACTTTATCTACACAGGGCGTTGTGAAATTACGCAGGTAAGCACTCACCACCTCCTTGTCTACCAACTGTGAATTCTATAATCACCTGTTTCTTCCTCCTCTCCAAGTCAAATGTGCAGGAATTGCTCGCCGCCGCGGATATGCTTCAACTGAACGAAGTTGTGGACGGCTGTTGTGAATTTCTGTGTCGCGAACTGCATGCCACAAATGCACTGGGTATATTGCGGTTTGCAGAAGCACACAATTGCGAGTCTCTAGCAAAAAGTGCAATGAACTTTGTGCAGGCCAATTTTCCAGCGGTAAATAAAAATAGCGTTATTATTTAAAACGATTTATATTTAAGTGAAAAAATATAAAACCAAAAAGTAATACCCCCCCCATCCTCTGTTCAGCCAGAATTTGAATCTTCGATCATAAATCAAATATTATAGTATTCCAAAATTTGAATTAAGCAGGACAATCCTAATTGCATATAACATTTATTTTTAATTGCCTGGTGACCTTAGCCACCAGACTCTACTAAAAATTCTTATAGACTCATTAGAGTGTTCCTCTCCACGGAAATCTTTAGTAAAAGGCGAAAGATTTATTCGACAACTGAAGAGAAACCAGAGTACCTTAAGTCTATCAGATGTCAGTATGTAGTATCAAAGTTCACTTAAACCATTTGCGAATTCTATTTCAACAATTCATGCAAAGCATCCCTGAAGTAGGCAACAAAAATATGCGTTAACTCCTTTTAGGATATTTCACTGACTCCACCTCAATAATTCTCAACCAGTTCTAGCCGTGCAATGGTGTAGTGCTGTGAGTTTAGCCCTGTAGAGTTATCGCTTCTCGGCCTTATGGCTAAGATCAAAGTGTAGTATCTGTTCTTATCAGCTTAACATCTGATAGTTTCTCCATTGGAGAACAACAAATGTTAAACTGATTTTTGGAAATAGACGGAGTGCTAGGGGCTTGCTCCACCTCTGTCGCGGGTTGGCCCGGTATTGCAGTACCGCCGGGATTCGGCCCAACTAAGAAATAAATGTCAAGTTTAAGTGAAAGTTAGAAATGTAATGTGGTTCATTCTTGGGTAGTCTAAGTAAATGTTAGTTATGTTTACTTACAATCGGACCCCTGTCAATAATTTGAATTATATTATCATCTAACATAAAAGGATAAATAAATAAATTTATGTCTATGTTCGCTGCTTGCAGATAACGCTGGAAGACGAGTTTCTGGAGACCCCGCAAACTTTGTTATCGCAGCTGCTTAACTCGGAGTTGCTACGTGTTGATTCTGAATCACAAGTGTTCCAGGCGGCGCTACGTTGGATTAAGCACGATGTGACGCAACGGCGCTGCTATGTCTTTGACATACTGTCGCATGTCCGCATGGCCTTGGTGCCCGTGAAGGTAATCGATAAGGCTTTGAAGGATGATTGTCGCGACATGTCTGTGAAAATCGCGCTACGCTCCATTTGCCGAGATATTGCCTCAAAGCGCGGCCAACTGGTGCCACTGCGCGTTTGTCCACGGCAGCTGGCCAAGAAAAATATCTACATTATTGGAGGATCCCATCGCGATACGCCACGCACCTGGAACTCGGCGGATTGCACTTTCGAAACGGTGGCCAAATTCGATATTTTCCGCCGTGAATGGACTGAGACGGCGCCTATGGAAGTGGGCCGCATTCTGCCGGGCGTGTCGGCATTGAATGGCAAGATTTATGTGGTGGGTGGCGAACGTGGATCGCAAATTCTGGCCAACGGCGAGGTGTACGATCCACAGAACGATATCTGGCAACCAATAGCACCGATGATAGTGCCCCGATGTGAGTTCGGATTGTGCACCATGGGCGGCAATTTGTTCGCAGTAGGCGGTTGGATTGGTGACGACATTGGCGGTACAATGGAGTGCTACGATCCGGAGAAAGACCTCTGGAAACTGATTGGCAGCATGCCGCAGCCCCGATTCAGCATGGGTGTCGTTAGCTTCGAAGGTCTGATATATATAGTGGGCGGTTGCACCACGACCGCCAGACATTTACCAGATTTAATAAGGTAATCAATCAACAATTCTATATCCAATGAAATATGATTATTAAAAAATTTTCGTTCCAGTTACAATCCCGTGACCAAGGAATGGACGCAGCTGGCACGCATGCAAACAGCACGCTGTCAAATGGGCGTCGCCGTGCTCGATCGCTACTTATATGTGGTGGGCGGGAGCAGCATCAGCCAGGACATACTTAGCTCCGTGGAGCGATACAGCTTCGATGATGATAAGTGGTCGACGGTGTGCGCACTGAACGTTCCACGGGCTATACCCGCAGTGGCTGCCGCCGATGGCTTACTCTATGTAGCTGGCGGTGATCAGGTGAGTTAATGACCCACATACTCACTCTAAAATGATTATTATATGTTGATATATCTTCATTACTTTTGAATAGCCATGCGAAGTAAACTTTTATCGTGCTCAAGTAACAATCAGCGCTGTGGAATGCTATGACCCACTCTCAGATACTTGGAAGAATTGTCCTGACTTGCCGGTCAGCCGATCCGAAGCTGGCGCCGTAGTTGTGTAAGAAGCAGCATCACTAGCAAGTAGTCCGCGCTTGCCCAAAGTCCAACAGTCTTACGAATCTTATTTTAAGCACTTTTAATATGCCCAGCCAATCACACCAAACATTATTTTCTCTTTGAAAGTTGAACGTAGTGCTCTCTAACCAAAGCTAAAAGCTAATGAGCTTTGTTGCAGTTTAATGTATATGAAACGTAGCTCAGCTATTTACACACCCAGTTTAGTATTATTTTTAGTAATTAGTCTGGAAAGCAACAGCAAAAACAGCACAGCCAGCATCTGATCGTTCCGTAGTAAAGTTCTCTTGAATAAATACGAAATAATAAGAAAACCGAAATTCGAAATTCACATGGCAAAGATTGTTAATCGACGTATCGTAATTGCTGAAATATTGTTCAACTGAAACCTATTTAAAGTTTACGTTATCAAATAATCATTAAAATATGTGAAATCGCCAGCATTGTTGGCGCGTTCTTGAAAAGTGCGTGCCCGAATGAATAACTTTGTATCATTAAAATGTACCAAAAACGAAAAGGAAACATTCAAACAAACTGTATTATTATTAGGTGTATTTACGAATAATAAATAAATATACGACTAAATCAAAATTTGTTGCTTTATAAAAATTTTCGATAATTTAATCAGTGTTGCCGAAACTTTTTCAGTAAAAGTAGCAAAACCAAGGGCTGAAAGTAGCTAGAAGTAGCCAACATTCTTCTAAAATAGCTGAAAAAGTAGCAAATAAGAAAACAGTGCTGTTTTTTTTCATAAAAAGTCAACTTTATTAATTTAATTCTGATAATATCTCATCTATGACCACCAACTCGTCATTTTCACCATTGTCGCTTTTATAATTTGCCTTTTTAAGGTAGTTGGGTGGAGCGCTATACTCATAGCAACATTTGCCATGTCGGCGTAATCCATATCTTTTGTAGACATACAATCTTAATGAAACTTTCAAAACGTGATCATATAGTTAAAATGTGTGTACATCATTCCAAAGCACAAGTCTCTAGTACTTGAAATGCGTTTTTTACAAAATGGTGGCGAAGGTAGGAAAGGGGCGTGGTATCCAAAATTATACCCTGATTTCCCATTTTCTGATTAATTGATAAGAAATGAATTTTGCATAACCTATTAGAAAGTCTACCTATTCTTCAGTTGTAGTATTAATTCTACACAAAACTCAGTACATTTAAAAAGTATCGAATCCAATTTTGTTATAAGTTCGCCGCTTGCATTTTAGCTAAATGTAATATTTGAAAATAGCTAGATTTGTAGTTAATGGCTGTTTGATAATTTGTGTAGCAATCGGCCTTAAACAGTGTTGCCGAATCAGCTATTTTGTAGCTAGATCTGGCTACTTTTTAAGGCCGATTGCTACACAAATTTTCAAACAGCTATTAGCTACAAATCTGGCTATTTTCAAATATTACATTTAGCTAAAATGTAAGCGAACTTATAGCAAAATTTGCTTTGATACTTTTTAAATGTAAATGATTTAAATGTATTAAGTTTTGTGTAGAATTAATACTACAACTGAAGAATAGGTAAGCTTTCNATTTATTTCTTAGTTGGGCCGAATCCCGGCGGTACTGCAATACCGGGCCAACCCGCGACAGAGGTGGAGCAAGCCCCTAGCACTCCGTCTATTTCCAAAAATCAGTTTAACATTTGTTGTTCTCCAATGGAGAAACTATCAGATGTTAAGCTGATAAGAACAGATACTACACTTTGATCTTAGCCATAAGGCCGAGAAGCGATAACTCTACAGGGCTAAACTCACAGCACTACACCATTGCACGGCTTGAACCGGTTGTGAATTATTGGAACTCAAAGCTAAAATAAATTCAGTGCTGTTAAACGCATTCAATAATGATGTCGGAAATCAGCTGTTGACGAACAGTGCTGTTAAGCTGTCAGCTGTTATTCAGTATTGAATCGAGCCCGCGTAAAATGTTTGCGTTTTGAATTTCAATCAACGTCATCTTTTATTTCAAACGTAAATGTAAAATATTTAGGTTTCCAAATTTTGTTTTTTTTTTTTTTTTTGTTTCTAAATTATGTGGTAATAAAATTTCATAAAGCCTAACAATGCAACCCGCCAGCTCGTCCAATGGAATACCCATTGGCTTCGACGCTGACGATTTGCCCGAATCCAGCAGCAGCAAGCGAAGACAACGCCGGAAAGAAAAGCACATTAAACGTTTGGAACACACCAAGCATTTGTTATTCACCAAACATTTCTCCAACTATCGCCTGCCGGTGGCGGTTGCGTCGACTGATTTGAAGATTGTACAGTTAAGTCGGTATGAGTCCATTATAGATCGAGACCGCCATCCTCCACTTTATGTAATTCCGGATCAGAAATCAGAATGGGCGCGCCTGAAAATGATTTCGTGTCCATGCCACGGGTGCGAATGTACATTAGATCCGAATGGTTGGCTCTCTCATTATATAAATGTGCATATGCGCCGACTAGGTGTCCCCTTCGTGGACGTGCCATTTCCTGTTGAAAAGCAAACCTTGCGTGCCTCTTGTAACCTAAGTTATCTCGATTATGACGTAAACACTCTACTGAGTGTCTATGGCTATCAGCGTTTTGGTCTGAACCCCCTCAAATGTCCGCGCAATACATTGCTGCCAAAGGAATATCGCAAGTACTCCCAGCACGGCGTCCTACTGCTCTTTGCTTGCCGTACGCGGCATGCATTACTTTGGCACCGTAAGCAAATCGATGATGTTGTTGCCATTTGGGTAGCGACCCCGATGCAGGGCGTGACCGTATCGTTACGCTGTGTAGTACAGCCCGCCAAATCGACACGGTACTATTCCAAGCGACTGCAATCGCGTCAATTGCCGGCATCTGGCCTAAAGCCAACGCCATGCCGTGATTTAATCAAAACGGACTTCAACGTAGTTGTCATTAGCTTTCAGGATTTGCGGGAGCTAATGGCAAAAAGTGAGGGTGAGCAGATCCTCAATGTGGAACTGCATGTTACGGGCGAGCAGAGAATTTGACAGATTCAGTTAGAGCTTAACTTATATTTATACATTAATCAATAAAATGACCTTTAGGCTATAAATAGTTTTTATTGTTTTTGGCAATAGTTTAATGACATATTGTTTTACAAACTAAACACATGCAAACATAATGGTACACAGACATAGATTTGAACTAAGGAATTCATACAGCAAACACAATTGTAGAGATTACGCTCGATCGAAGCTGCAAGCTGGCTCCAAAAGCTAGCCACTAGCATCTCCAATTATTGATTAGATTGTTGGTGAATATAAACAATAATTCACGAACATTGGTTTGTTATAGATTTTACTTAAATATATTTCGTACAATTTTGTTGAGTTCGCACTCGTTACACTTAAGAAATAGTAAAAGAATTTACAAATTTTGAGCCTACATACGTACAATTTAGATTTGATAAGCTACTATATATGGTATTATATATGTATACATCAAGTTTGTATACAGCTGTGTATGTGTAAGTGTGAGCGGTGAATGTGTGTGTAGTGGGGCATGCAATAATCGGGGCCCGCTGCTGCGTTTGCTTTCGCAAATGCCCAACACAAAAAGAAAACGAAATGCAAAAGAATTGACAACGATAAAACGAAACATACTTAACGAGAAAGATGGTAGCTAAAAAGAACATTGTCTATTGTATTAAAATCGGGTCTAACCCGCCTTTTGCGTTTGCTTTTGTCGCTGCAGCGCCTCGAACGCTTCGATTTCCTTCTTTTCTTTGGCTTGATTCCGGCGCTCGTACTCCAGCCGATGCAATATTATGCGCTCCACAATGCGCTCCGTGGTCATATCGTTGCCAGAGTCGATCAGCTCAAAGATGGCTCGAGTCTTGGGCACAGCGTATGGATCAACTTTCCCATCCTCCAGAGCAATCGGTGTGCGTCCATGGCAAACCACGTCTATCTTGAAGTGATCCAGCAGCTCCTCAGTGACACAGTAGGGTGCACCAATGACCACCTCGTTGACAAACTGCGAATGCAGAGAAAGCAGATATTAGTACAGACACGAGACATGAGGTTGTCCTCTGTGCACTATTTACTTTGCAGGCCAAAACGCTAAGCACGCGCTCATGCAGATTCATAATGGGATAGTTGCTGCCCTTATAAGAATTGACAACGGGATCTGTATGGAGGCCGACAATCAAATAGTCGCCCAATTTTCTAGCCTTTTCCAGAAAATCCAAATGACCCACGTGAAAGAGATCAAATGCGCCAGCCACATAAACCTGAGTGCGAAACAACAGTTAACGCAATGCAACAAATAAATATTAATTGTGTTTATATTTACAATCTTATCGCCGGGATTTGGTGATTTGCCATCGCTAAACTGGATTATCTTCTGTGTTGTAGGCAAAAACTGGCTGCAACCGGTCCAGGGACTCTTGGCTGCCGAATCCTGACCCATGTTCGATGAACCTAAACGGGATTGCAGTTGTTGAATTTTTAAAAGTTTTGCTGTTTTATTGATTATCAAATTTGGAAATTTTCGAATTTTTGGTTTTGGTTTTTTGATTGGTAGAGATATGGGCATTACAGTACATAGCGCAAATTACAGTTAGATTTTGATTGATTTGATATTTCATTTCGATTTCATTTGATTGCAGGTTTCATATATAAATATATTTTTTCAAGGATATTCATTTTGGTTTGAACGCGGGGCGGCAGCACGCACGGGATTTTGAGATTTTAGTTCATAGGTTTTTTGATTTTTGAGAGTTTTGGTTAGTGGTAAACAGTGCGCACATAGAAATAAAAAGAAGAGAAATAGTAAAGATGTAGAGAGCAAAATAAAGCAATTTTTTTTTATTTTGTTATAGGTTCAAAAGATTGCTACGGACTATGTAGACAGATTCTAACGGGGAAATTATTCAACCAACTAAAAGCAAAGCGTGCGTACCCCATTAAGGTTCATATTAATTATTAAAGTATTGTATATGTCTAAACATTAAGAAGTTATAACTTTGCTTCTCTCCTCATACTTGGATCTTGGATTTTTAATGTGGTTTTGTTGTCGCGCGTGTGTGTGTGTGTGTTAATTTGAGCATGCAGCGAAATAAAAGTATCGTAAAGTAGAAAGTACCAGAAAATAGACATAAAAGAAAAGAGAGTGTCCAAAGCAACAATAATTATTAGTTGGTTAGTTAACCGTATATGTGTATATGAGAGTAACAGGTGGCTGATGAGGTAGATGCACATAAAAGAACGCAACTTATAGCTTATTAATTAATCAAAGTGACACGCATATGCTGCTACCTTCTTTCTCGATATCATATTCGGCGGAGCCTTGACGGAAATGGTTGCGTGTTAGCAACAACATGCGACCCACCAGGTCTGTGGTCGAAACGCCAGCGGTGCGCTTCACTTCCCTGTGACGAGCAGAGAGGGAGAGCGTGAAAGAGAGTAAGATTAGCAATAAATTACACCTTCGATATATGTGAGTGACTCACTTGTAACGGTTGGCCGACTTGACCAGATGATATGTGTCGACACCCTCGGCAGTCATCGTGATGTCATCTATGATGAAGTCAACAGTAATTAGCAAATGGAGAGATACATTACTGATAGGCCACTTACCGCCATGCACACAGAAATCACAGTCATTTTGGTCGAGGACCTCGAGAGTGGTCACGTAGGGCGCACCGAGAACCACCTCGTCGACCCACTTAATGCCCTTCACCATTTTGACGCGCTCCTCCTCGGTGAAAACGGGCGGTCCCTTGTGTTTGGTGATCTCCTCATCGGTGTGAATGCCGACAATTACTTTATCGCCAAGTGCCTTGGCTTGTCGCAGTGAATTGGCATGCCCAAAGTGGACCATATCATAGCTGTCAATTATAAAAAACAAGCATTCAAATTAATATTCACGTTGTAGCTGTTCTAGTGGTTGTATCTTGTTTCCGCCCCCAGATAAAACACAGTGCATTCCCTTATCAATTTAGCCGGAATAGAAAGAAAAACAAAACATGTAGGATACTCAAATTGTGTAGACCTTATCTATTATAGAAGAAACGTAGCGCGTGGCGCTCATCTAATTAAGTTTCAGATCGGGAAAAGATGATAGAATAAAAATAAAAAGTCTTGAGCCTTATAGCTAGAAAATTCCATTTGAAATATAGCTCAGGTTCACTGAGCTTCATTTTCCAATAAATTGAACTCAATTCGTTTCAGATACGGTAAAAGTCTATTAGATTTTTCAATTAGTCTAGTCTTATGGCTAGACTAATATAATTTACAATAGTATTCGTTTCCAATTGGCCTAACCAATTGACGACACAATAAAGTAAAAGTATTTTTACAGATCTGTCAATCAGCCCTAATGCTTATACTATTTACATTATTATATTATTATTGTAAATAAGATTCTTATAAATTAGATTTAGATACAATAGAGTAAAAGTCTATTGATAGATCTTTTAATTAGTTAGCTAGCTAATGCCATTTACAATATTACTCAGAGTTGATTGAGCTCAAGTTTTCAGTGAACTGAAACGACCTTGTTGTAATCGAATATGATGCGATCCCTGACGACTGATTCATGTGTAACACTAGCTAAATGCAGCAGATAACCCTGAAGCCGAGTATAGCAACCGTATTAGCACACGGACGGCAAAGTTTTCCATTCAGAGCCGGGTTCATATACCTCCCCGGCGACAATTAATGAAAAAGCGGTTGACTAAGCGGAAAAACAATCACAGCCCGTGTGACTTTTGACATATAGGTCTAAAAGTGTCAATGGAAACAAACAAAAAACAATAGAATGTTGCGCAGTTAAGCAAATGGGAGAAAAACCACACTATTCAATTAACTATTGAGACTTTAATTACAAATATTCAAACGAACAATGAATATGCTTAGGGACCAGCACTTGCGTAAAGCAAACAAAGCCGGAGAGGCGCAAATCAAACTCAAAGTGCGAATAAGTCAATGTCTGGCCCCCAAAGTCGGACGCCACTTGCTCGAATCGCTCCACTTTTTCTTTCTTTGTCGAGCGTCGCCATCGTCGCACTTTGGACACGATCATCAGTTGTGAATCGCCACAACAGCAAGAGATGCTCGTGTGTGAGACATGATGATTTCCATTGATTTGTGCATTCATTTGTCATATATGTATATGCATATATGTATGTGTATATATAAAATGTATGGAATGCGGGAATCCAAGCGCATTTCTAGCCAACCCATGACAAGTTCTTGCCAAATGTTTTGTACGTGCCAAGACGCTTTAATGCAACATTTGCCAATTTTTTCGCCTATAACTTGCGAAATTTATTCGTGTAAATATTGTTGGTATTTTATTGCTATCCAAGAGTTAGCTAAGCTAGCATATTACAAAGGAACACCCAATGGAGTAGAGTATACAGTGATTATTATTAAAAAATACTACATCATTTCAAGCGGATGTCAGTTTGTAGATAACCATGCTTAAAGCTTGCCAAAACCAAAACAATATAATCTATAGCAATATGTCTTAAACTCTTTGCAGAAACTGTTGAAGATAACTGAATACATGATATATCAACGTGACGAGGCCAGCTAATTGCAAATAAATAATTATTGTTTATGCAAGAGAGTCCACTCACGAAGCCGAAAAGAATGAATGTACCATAGGTGTTATATGTATATATATAACAAGTGATAAGTCACTCACTTAACTCACGACAGTAAGCAGGCAAATCGAATTCCAGGCGATTGCCAGGTGGGCCAATCTAGATAGCAAGCCACGACGTCACCTATATCGAATAATCAGACTGAGCCACGTCTATTACTAGACGATGGGGAACACTGGCAAATGAAATGACATTATGTAAGCAGTGAGTATAGAGCGTCAAAGTATGGCCAAGGCCCACAAAATACATAGATTAGCCATAGCATAAATAATTTCAACTAGTCACACGGCGGGGCAATCGAAACAAACTGTGATGCTAAACGACGTCATTCAATTGATCCGATAAGGTTCTGAAGACGGCCTTAACAACAAAATGGATTTTTGGTAGACAGACCAGAGTGTGGTCCAATCATCATTCATAAAAACAACAATGTGAACCAACCAACGAAGAACCTTTGCTCCCGGAGATTTTGCGACACCCAAGAAATCTGTGCCGAATGGAATTATCTATATATATAGCTGCTACGTCTATAGTACACATGTGTGGAGAATTAAGTATAGCACAGAGCACATACTGGGGCTTTTAATCAATTGAATTACGCTGACTGCCGCTGATTAAGAAAATATCACGCGATTCAGAGTAGAATTTGCGCTCGCGCGATAACCGAACCACAGTATATGCGAAGGCGCATTCCATACCTACATATTTATTTACATATATATATACAAATGAGTATATGCTGAGGGAGGCGCAACGGATGCCCCAAGGGGTTTACAATTGATTTTGGACGACCCAAGTTCATTGACACGAAATAGAAAGAAAACAAAAAAAAAAACAAATTCTTCAGCAATGCTCAATGCATCCGTTTGCGTCAATGATCTTTCCTATCGATGGGAAACTGTTTCAATTGCTAGAGATTAAAGGGCCACGTCTCACATGAATGTGTATATATTTTTGTTATTTATTTATAGCCTGAGCTGGGCCCAGCTGAGCTGATCTGGGGATGGGGCACAGCTGGTTCTGAATGGATTTCGCATGATTCTCCTTATCTCCTATCTGCGCATAGCCCTCCCCACGAGCAATGCTCATTGACCCCAGATCATCAAGGGGCTGCTGCTGCTGCGGCTCCTGTGGCACTACTAATCATTCAATGTACCCGGAAAGTGTTCCGTTATAAAATCGGCTTTCTAAAACGTGCTCGAAAAACTCGTATTTAAAGGTTGATAGAAAATCATAATTTTAAATACATAAGAACAAAAAATTCATTTTTTCGTGAGTCAGCTAATATAGTTCGAAATTTGAGTAAATTTAATCTTTATTTGTATGTGCATTATCGGGGAACTACCTTTTATATAGTTTTAACAACATACACATATGCCATATGATATGTATGTGTTTGTATGTATGTCTCTAAACATTTGGTATAGATAGTTGTCGTTCGATAAAGTTACCATATTATATTTATAGCACACACTCAGCTTATCATTTACGGCAGGTATGTTACCCTAATTTTTAATTTAAGATTGCTCGACTAACTGAACTTGTTAACCTTTTAAGCTGCAGTAAGTAAAGTATGAGTGTAAATAAATAAATACTACATGTTTTCCTTTTTGTATTTCAAAAATAAATTATAATAAGAACGTAGTCTTTACTCAATTGTTCTTTAAAAAAGGTGCTTCTATATATAAGATTGTGAGCTCATATATAAGTAAGTATATGTGCTATATATCAAGCGAATTTGAAGTTTTTATTTACAGTTTGCCCTTTAGAAAGTTTCACTGGCGATTTGCTTTGACCACTGACCTTGACTACAATGCGAAATGTCAATTTAATTATGCAAACGAGCAAACACAAAATATGTAAAATGCAATGCTGCACTAGAATATATCCTGTAATCATTGAACAGATTTGTGCTTGCAATAAAATATTTGACTATTCTTAGCTTGCAAAAATATTTATAGCTCTTAGTTTTATTTTAAAAAAAATCTCTAAAATAATGATTTTTAATGAAAAAATAATATTTTATGAGTTGACTACTTTTCATGCAATTTAATATTTCCCATATATAATATATTAT